TTTCTCGTTTATTACGTTCGTGTTTGTGTCTGAAATCAGTTCAAAGTAATACAATAATGAGCTTCAGTCAAACAACGTGTGTGTCGAAATACGAATGTCTTTTCGATTGGCTTTTTTGCCAAAAAAAATAGAGAAAAAAAGTCGAACAAAACTTTTTGCACAAGCACATGTAAATACAATATTAATTCAGGACTGCGGCGAAGTGTCGTATCAAAGAAGAAGGTGCTCATTTTTCGGCAAAGTTTAATTTCATTTCAGCGAATACTGAAAATATGGGAAAAGTATCACCAACTTGGTCCCGGGAAAGTATTCAAAACGCTTCAAAACATTAGTAACGGAACTTTTAATACAAGTTTTCAAAACTATGATATATTCCGGTGACAAACTAAACTACCAGAAAGTTACGAACCAAAAATTGCCGAGCAAAACAGGAAAAACGGCAATAATTTTTTTTCGGCATTGCACTTTGAACAGCCAGCAATGGACAAAAGTTTTGATTACAAATGTAATAATATTGCACGACGCGCACTTTTCTCTCCTTCTCTCTCTCTCTCGCTCAAACCGAAACGCAAAAAAAAGTTGCATTGACGATAAGGTGTGACTATGACCTACCAAATATGTTCATCGCCGTTACTGTGTTTTTCCCTCGCATCAAAAATACTGTTGCTCTCGCCTGAGAAAAAAAAGCAATGAAATTGCGTTGTTGTTTGCATTTTAACGATGACCGAAACCGCAACGCAGTCATGATGATTCATTGCGTCCAAAATTGTCGGTCTTGTTATTTGACTTTGTTTTTTTCTCTCTTGTTCGCTCTTCTTTCCATATATGAATTAAAGCGAGTGTTTTTTTTTTCGCTTGTGGTTCCCAAACTAAAATTGGCCAAGAATTTCTAGACGTGCTATTATTAACCAATTATCTTGAGAATAATTCAAAGGAAATCTGTTACATTTTTTTAAAGCATTGAACTCAAAATAAAATCGCTTTTATGCAGAAAATTAAGTTTTTAAGACAATAGCTCCCATATCGAATGATCAATATCAAAATTAAACAGATTGAAATTAAGTGGCCGCCAATCAATAGGCATTATATAAAAATCACATCAATAAACATTTTCCGCTTCTTTTTCTCCTTCTCTCTCTCGAAATAATTGCACTTAATTGATTAGTAGTACAAAACTCGACAATTTTTTTCGTGTCACTACACATCGTGTTCGCACGCTCTTCAGAGACTTTTTATTCGGGTTTACATTCTCATGTTTACATTTTGATAAGCTTTATCTCTCGATTGCTCAAAATACAGTGTATTAAACTCTATTATATGATTGTATTTTAAGACAACATAAAAGAATGTAAAAAAAACATTTTCAAGTCGAATGTGTGTTTTTCTTCTTCTTTCTTCTGTTCACTCGAAGTATAAAATCAAAGAAAATAGAGAACGACATAGAAATGTGTTTCTTTTGCGGCTGCAAATCAGTCTACAAGTTCATGATTAATGTCGAATAAAACGGTTCTTCTCGCTATATTTGAAATGGAATGAGATAGAAGAAAAACGTGAGTTCGATATAATGAGAACACAAGTTGAATGTGTTCATTAATGACGAAATCTAAATTATTTTTATTAATACAATTATCAGAAGTAGAATGGGCATATTGTTAAAAAGCAACCAAAGAAACTTTATGTGTTTCTCTCTGTATCTCTTTATCTGTCCTCTTTCGTTTGGACTGTTGTTTTTTTTGTGTTTTCATCTTCTTTGAACAAAAGAGCACATACCAAATGAGGTCGAAAAGTATGTAAAATACCGAATTTCTCGACAAAATTTGCTTTTAACTTGCGGCTAATCCACATTCCATTTGGAAATTTTCATCCATCGGAATAAAATATGAAAAAAAGAAAGTCTTTTCCATTCTCTCGGCATAAAACTTGTTGAAATATTTGCTAAATCTTAACTACAAATTTGTCAAACAAATTTCGGCCATTCAAACAAGTCGATCAGAGATTTTTGACGTCGTTCGGCAACAGAGGAAAGAAAACACAGTGAGAGAGAGAGAGAGAGAAATATGACACAAGTTCGGCACGAATGTTAACAATAAAAAGTGTCTTCCACAAAAGTCTCTCTCATCGAGAAGAATTCTATTTTTATAGTTGTTGTTAGAAACTGTCTCGCATTGAATACAGCAGAAGAAAAAAAAACATTTCGATCGTTTTTTTTTCTGTTTTCATAACGTAATCCGCGACTCGATACAAACAAATCGTTTGACTCTACAAGGCACTTCGATTTGTATTTTTCGTTAAATTAAATGTAAAAGTTTTCTACATATCTGTCCATATAATTCGTAGACATATACACACAGCGTAGCACAACGCAGCCCATACACTGACTAATCTGTTCACGTAAGTCGTGTTGCGATGTTGTTGCTATTTTCACAGTGGACGCATATTATAAGTCATTCATAACCTTGAAATATTTTGTGGCAAAATACGAGCGCAAACGAACGAGCAAGTTAGCGAGTGAGCGTGTTAGCGCACCCGCAAAAACACACACATACACCGTACACATAACATAACTTGATATAATTTTTCAACTGAAATTTTGACGATTGAAGCGTTACAACCAATGATAGAATGTTGCACAGTAACACAAGAGGTTAAAGTCCTCTGGATGGCAGATGGCATAGGGAGACGCGGAGGACGACCGCAGGAGAGCTACAACGGTGATGTTGAAGAGAGCAAGAAAGACGCACACACACAGAGAGAGAGTGAGAGAGAAAGAGGGAGAGAGAGAGAAACACAGAACAAACGAAATAGAGACGCTTGACATTAATTTCTTTCCTCGGCAATGACAATCCCATAGACGGTGCGACTGTGTTTCATCACGTTCAGTTTTTGTGAACGTGAACGTATTGTTGAATAACGTCATTATTAAAATCCAAAATACGTTTCGGCGCTGTGCTTCAAATTGTTGACGCAAAATGTTGTTTCGTCTGCAAATTAAAAGCATGAAAACCAGTGAGCATACATAGCTTATACTTTGCGCTTTGAAGCGTCGTCTCGCTCTATCTATCTCTCCCTCTGCTTTTTTTTTCGCTTTGCGTTTGTATGATTTAGACGATTCACATCTGCTGTTGATACCGAGCATCTGATGTTGGGTCAATCACAGCGCTAACCAATCGATATGCTGGCAACCCTTCATTGCTTGTGTAACAATGACCCAGCTTTCAATCGATTTTCAGCATGCATTTTTTTTTATGCTGAAACATAATGTATGTCAAGTTTCCGGCATTTCAATTTTATTCTCTTTCACTCTGTCTCACTCTCTTCGAATTATTTATTTATTCTATTCCTTTAAAAACGTTGTCGGCTTTTTATTATTATGATGATAAATGCGCTGTCGCAAAGTTTAGCAAACTGGTGTGAAAAACAATATTCGGTTCACAGACGTTTGCGGTGTGGAAGAACAAGAGAGAGATTACGTGATTGATATATATGATCAAGAAAGACAAATATCGGCGATGCAAAGAACGTTGACTTGTTTGTTTCGTTCTGACAAATTAGCGGAGCGGGTCGCAAGTGTGTTCGTATTCATCGTTCACCCATTGGCTATAGTCGTTCACAGCAGTCAGTCAGGCAGGCAGGCAGTCAATGAAATCGAACAGTGAGTAATTAATTGCACATCTTTTTTGTGTGTGGCATTGAATATGTGCTGCAAAGATATCTGCGCAGCGGATAAGTACACCGAAAACGTTCAATGCGACGACAGCAGCGGCGACTAAACGGAGAAGCAAATCAACAAATTTGCAATAACGACACCTAGACATGAATTTTTGAACATAAAATAAATGACCTGCATTGTATACAACACCGACTACCCTAAAATCAACCAATTCAAACACAAACAATATCGTGCATAATACGTGCGCCTCTTTTTCGTTCTCTCTCTCTCTCTCTCTCTCTCTCTCTCAGTTTCTCTATAAAATATTCAGCGTTTCTATGCTATGCTATACTTATATGTGGAGGCAGTATTGAGTGTCGTAAAGATTGACGTAGAACTGTAGCCGCGACAATTTCATCGGTTCATCCCTGGGCTCTGTTTCATTTAATGTGTCTGCTCGAGATTGGTATTCACTTAAATGCCAAAACAACATTTTCAAACGTAAATAAAATGCAATGCTTTTCGAAAGAAAATCGCACGCGCGCGCACATATTACGTTGGGAATTTCGAGTATCGACGGAATATGTGGGCATTCCGTTTCGTTCGTCATTCGATTCGCCGAAACTAAGCCCTGTCATGTACAATATACATATAATACGTGTTCGTGTGCACAGGCATCGGCACAATATTACTGTATAGCATTAAGCTGTATTACAGTGGTACGTCTGATAAAATTAATGCCTATTCGACTCGCTCGGCGTTTCTTTTTTCCTTCTTCTTCTTGCTCGCTCGCTCGCTTACTTACTTACTGTAGATGTATCCGTAACGAACCTGACGCGCGTGTGTGCATGTGGTATTTTTCAATGTGTTTTATATCAAACAAATTGTATCATGCCTGTTTGTATGTGTGCAAGGTCAAATACCCTATTCAATTCAAGTCGTAAATCAGATCTGTTTTTTTTTGCTGTTGCGCTGTCTTTGTTATTATGGAAACATGACTTAATTTTGATGTTGTTTTATGGGTCTTTTCGAATAAATATCGGCGGCTTTTCCTTCGTGAGCTTTACTTTTTCTCGATTGAATATATCTTTTCCGACCATTTGCCATTAGAATAAAATCGTGCAAATGTTGTTGTTACATTGACGAAATTTCGACATTGACTGAGTGCAATTTAGCGCTGTATCATGATTCGTTTTTGGAATGAATGACCCAACGAACGTATGAACGAACGAAAAATAAGAAATTTCAAGACTTTTTATTTATATGTGGATCGGTGTGGTTTGATTGATGATACTAATTTGGAAATTGGTTTTTCTTTTCTTTGCTTTTTCTTCTTTTGTGTTGCCTCTAGATCGAAACGACTGACAATGGGTCCACTCCAAATCAAGAGAATTCGTGTCCGTCCTCGTCGAGCGAGACATCGATAGCACCAAGTACTTCCGACGAAGAAAAAATGGAAAAGAAGGTCACAAGCTGTAGCGACGATAGCGATGAACCGCAGGCGATAGTCGCGACAGTAGTAGATGTTAGCTCAAAAATTTCCAACAAACCAATGGATGAAAAATCGCTCATTCAAATGGAATCGCATCAGCAGTTACCGTCATCATCGACTGAAGCATCCAATGGAATAGCCGGCACCACCGATAACGAAACAATGGAAACAGACGCTGCTCATGTGGGTGAGTCATTGACCGGTACAGTGCGTGCCGTCGATACCAACAATAAGGATACCGAACAGGAGAATCGAGTTGATTGTACGGCTGATTCATCGGGTGTTATTAATAAATGCGACTTAATGACGACCAACGATGTGCTCATCACTGATGAGGCTACACCCTCTATACATACGGAGAGTGCGCCCGAAGAATCAACATCAACAACTACAGCCAGCACCGCCACCGCTATCGTCGAGCCAGATTCAATACCAGACCCAGAAATTGAGTCTAAATCGAAAACTGAAGTCAAAGATGAAACTGAACCTGAACCTAAATTGGCGGTAGCACCAGAACCAGAGGTAATTTTACAATCAAAAACTCTGTTAAAATATTTTCCTTATATTGAAGATGTTGAAATTTTAAGTAGTACAGTAAAACCTGTCAATAACGGAATCCCGTGGAATTTTTTTTTTCCACTATTGACAAGAATTCCAGTATTCACAGGATCCGTTATTCAGAGGTTTTTGAGTCGACTCAAACAGGATTTTCCATTATTGAGGGTAAAAAGAAACAAAACATACATTTTTATGGGTATTCAATTATCAAATTAAGTGATATAATGAACGTGAAAAGGAAATAATGAAATAAAAGTATTTTTTTACTAAATGAATGAAGGAAAGTGAAAAAACATTGAAATTCACTGAGTGAATGACAAACATCACTTTTTAAAATAATCAAGCAGTCTAAACAATAACTCAAAATGGGAAGGTAAATGATACACATTTTTTACACTATCAATTTGGCAGCGATGAATTCTGCATTTCATGAAACGAAACAATGATTACCAAACTTAATGAAAATGCACTGATCTAGTGAATATGTTTATACCTCCTCAAAAATTTGTTTCCTTGAATGAATAAGCAATGATTTTGGCAGACAAAAGTGAAAAATAATACTGAAATGAATGTAATGTAAATTGTACTGCACAATTTTTATGATGATCAGTGGTTTTGATAAAGGAAAAAATTAGTTTTATATGAAAAAGAGATGAATAAAAGACGAAAAAAATTTCGTCAAGAGATTTTTTTCCACTATTCGGAGTTTCGATTTTCCGTTATTAACATGTCAATTTGTATGGGAGAGCTCAATGGCCAAATTTTTTTTCCACTATTGACACGATTTCCACTATTCCCAGGTTCCGTTATTGACAGGTTTTACTGTATCACTATTTGCTTGAAGTTGAGATTTTATTTTTCACAAATCAAATATTTCCAAAATAAATTTTAAATTTTTTCGAACTTTTTATTGTTACAGGTTGAATCTGAGCCAGCTATAGCCGAGCCATCAGCTAAATTAGTTGAAAGCGATAATATCGAACATGTCACAAGTAATTCCATTGATGACACATCATCGATCGATGCATGCAATGCAAGTAGTTCAAGTTCAAAAAGTGATACAAAATGTGTAGAAGAAAAGAGAGAAAATGCAGAAGAGGAAAAAGTAGAAGAGCACTGTGATAGCGTTGTTGAATCGGCGAAGGTGAATGAAGTCGAACAAAAAGTATCGAATGTACAGAATGAGGAAAATATTGTTTCAAATGTTGATTCTGGTGCAAAAACCGAACAATTAGATAGTGAAATTGAACAAATTGATAAATGCGATTCGGTGGATGAGCAGAATGCAACGGAAAATGGCTCCAATGATTGTGATAGTAGTGATATTTTAGTAGAAAACAAAGTTGAATCGGAAGAAAACGGTGCAATATGTGCTAATTACGCTTGCGATGCAGATGAAAAACGAAGAGATAACGAAGCCACGGACAAATGCGAACCACGCGTCGTCGTCCTCGCCGCTGTCGCCTCCGTGAACACGGAGCCAAGCGTTGTGAACAGTCCTGAAGCGTGCAAACAAAATGAAACCGATAAAGAACAACAAATAGAACCGATCCAAATCGATGTACAAAACAAACGATTGCCTTCAGCTGAAGCAAACACTGAAGAAAATGACGTACAAACACAAGTGGACATTGACCCAGAAACAGCGGTAAAGGAGGCCAATGAGCAAACTGCATGCGAAACTGCATTGAATGCTGGCACTAAGCAAAATTGTGATGACTTAGTGCGAAGTGAATCAATCCCGAATAGCGAAACAAAGTGTGCTTATGATTTGAACGAATGTGTTTCATCGCCTGAAATTGCGCCAATCGGTTTCAAAGATAAATTTAAGAAATCGTTCGAAATCATGGAAAAATCCAAACAAGAGTCCAACTTAACGACGGATAAACTGGAGAAACAAACGGACCAAGGAAACACAAAAGTTAGTGCAGATTACAAGATTTTCAACGTCGTCATCGACGACGACGATGATGATGATGATGATGACAAACAACACCAAACGAATGCACCTCTCGACAACGACATCGAATCATCTAATCAAGTTAATAGAAACGATAAACATGATTCAAACACATTCTCGTCATCCCATCCAAATACCAATGAATCACCGAGCACATCGAATGATGTATGTGATTTGACGGAGGAAAATACCAAGCCGAAAATTGTAGAAACGAACTTAGAACTGACAACGAACTGTAATTCAATCAAAGAAACTATGATAAGCCAAGAAAATGCTATTATACCAAGCAAAAGCAAAAGCAAAAGCAAAACCATAACACATTCCACACTTGACAGCTCAACGCAACAGCGAGTTGACAGTCAAGATCGTGAAATTAAACCACCGGCAGCGGCAGCGACGACGGCGACAGCTACTACTGAAACTAGAACAATCATTATTTCGCCACACAACCAAGGCCGATTTGATTTAATTAAGGGCAACAAAAATGATGAGCCCAAGCCATTTTTCGGCGCTGATTTATTATCATCGAAAGCGGGCAGCTTGTATGTTAACAATCCAGACTTTTCAAAATCACTTCGTCCATCATTGCGAGATTTGAGCGAACTGCGAATGAAACCGCCCGACTTTAGTCGAATAGCCCGGTCATCCGAATTGCATGTGCCCAATCCGGACTTCACAAAAGCATACGATAAAATCAACCATGATACTCAAAGTCAATCGCCGCTTCCAGCCGAAGTGAATCCAAGTAATTTTGCGGAAATTAGTAAAAAGTACAATTACATTAGTGACCTGCAGCTAAAAAACCCATTACCAACAACATCGAAAACCAATGAGCCAACTCAATCGGCCTGCTCATCATTGTACATAAAAACGCCCGATTTTGCGAGCAAATTGCAACATAAAGCGGGCAATGAATCCGAAGCTTCGCCCGATCAGGAGCCAACGCCACATATTATACATAAAAATATGTATCGACCGCAGGCGGATAGCTCAAGTAAGACCAGTGTTTCGGCTCGTTCAACACCAACTCATGTCGATTATCCACAAATATCGGAAGACATCACAATGTCTTTAGTGCAGCACGCTTCATCGCAAGCGAAAGTATCACAACCGAAATCGTCTGCCCCACCGAAACCACCCACTCCAGTGCATCGAGTCGATTCGCGTGTTACATCAAACGCTGCAGCTGTAGCAACAGTACCAACGGTACCAGCACCACAACCATTGCCACCGTCGTCACAACCGCACATCTACTCGCCAACACCACTCGAAAGACCAAATTCACAAAGCTATTATCCGCATCCGATTCATCAGGCGGAAAAGAGTATGTCCGCCGCTATGCAGAAACTCTACAATGAGGAAATGTATCAACGGAATTTAGCGGCATCGCCAGCACATCATCAATATTCAACACCGTCGGCACACGTATTTCATCATCATCATCATCATCCGCAACATCCGCATCATCACAGAGATATTTCACCAGCGACACCGAGCCAAAAAGTCCATCACACCTACGAACAGTACCCACAAACGGACAAGGCTTTAATGCCCAAGAGCGTTCAATCAACGCTCGATACTAATTTGATGCGTCCAATGAACGATGGCCCGATGTATGGTCGACCAGCCTCAACGAATATGATGTACCACGAACAAAATCGATTGAAACCAATTCATTCAGCAGCCGAAGTGCAACCAACGAGCAGTAGCCACGTAAATAGTTACAACTATACACCGGCCGGAAGACCTGCATCGGCACATGCCATGAACAAACCAACCGATTATTACAATCCAATGCATCCGATGAATCAAATGAATCCGCCGCAGAAATGGCCAAGCCAAACGCGTATTACACAGAGTCCAATTTCATCGGCACCATCGCCACACAGCATTAGCAGCCAAAATACTCGCATTTCACAAAGTCAAAGTCCCGTTAGTGCAAGCCCATTGCCATATCAAATGCATCGACAAAGTCCGAGCAACATGCAATATCAGTCGCCACATACGACACCAAGCCCATCTCCATTCGGCTACCCACCTAGTCCAATTCCCGTCAAACCGAACAAACTTCCAATAAATACACCAGTTAACAACATTCCGCCACAAAGTGAGTCATTCCATCATTTCAACCTTCAATAAATTTAGATTTTTTTTCTTGCTAACGATGATTCATTTCGATATTTTTTTTCTTAATTTCAGAGAAACACAATGATTATGCTCTTCCAATTGCGAATTCAGCCGATAAAAAACAAATGTCAAATAGTTTGACCGATCCGAAAGTTACCAAAGTGAAAGAAAGCAGCAGCAGTCGAATGCATCATGAATCACGCGAACAATACCAAGCAATGCAAACGCAACATCGCTCATCATCGTCCAGTCGAAGTGCCGCCACCAAGGGTGAAACAAAGTACACAGATCGTATCGATTACAGACGTCCAAACACTATTCTCGATCCATACGTTTTTCGTCAAGCATCCGATACCGATGTAAACTATCAAATCATTAAGAAAACGCTGAACAAGGAAATCCCAACACCGTCATTCAATCGCAAAAATGCCGATCTCAACGCTGGTTTGTCGTTGTCATCCCGAATAAATGCACATGCACATTTAACACAAAACCCAAACGAATTGAATGCAACGCGAAAAGAGAAAGCCGGACCCGAATCCAGACTGGTTTATTTGGATTCAAAACAACCGCACGAAATATACCAAGAAAAATTGGCAAAACAAAATGAATTGAATAAATTACAGTATCCGTCGCATACACCGTATCATCCGGCGCAACAAATGGAAAATCATGTTAATTATGACGCAAGAGCAACACATTCGGCATCTGTGAACAATCATCAATATGTAGCGGCACCCACAAATCAGAGACATCAATTGCCGACATTGGGTATGTCACAGCAACCGAAGCCAAAAAATCAAGGTCAAACCTCAGCTGATGAACTGAATCATGTGCCTTACGAAACACCTGTGCGACAAAAACTGGAAGCAAGAAAGGAAAAACCAACACCACCAGTGCAACAGCAGCCACAGCAACTACAGCATCAGCAGCAGCAGCAGCAGCAACAACAACAACAACAACAACAACAACAACAACCTACTAATCTATCGGTGAACGATGTATCAAGCACCAGATCATCTTCGGCGACATTGTTTGGTCCAACGAAACGTGAATCTCCACTGGATTTATCGGTGAAAACGGTAAAAACGAAGGCGGACTCGACGGGCGTCTACGATTATAGTCTTCCATTGAGACGACAAGACACCATTCCGCAATCGCTTAAGGTTGATTTCGCACCGAATTTCTCCAATTCATCACCCGACCAAAATCGCAACAACGCCAATTATCGTCCACAAAGCCGAACGGAAACACTTCCCGGTCCAGGTGCAATGATTAACAATATGATAGCAAATCATGTTAATCATACACAGATGAGCTCACAACCGCTAATGGCTCAAGCATCCTATTCACAAATGGAACTTCATCAGAGACAGCATCAACACAGTGCGCCTCAATACAATATGAATATTGATGCTCGGTATAAGGCTCCGGGCATGGATAATAATAGTGTCGCATATCCACAGTCCAAATCACTAGCAACGCCAGCCCAGGCACAACAGGCACAAGCACAAATGCCAGGCCAGGTACCAGGCCAGGTACCAGGCCAGGTGCCAGTAAAGATTCCCGCACCACCGATGACTGAACAACAATCGAAAGCACGCAAAGACGGAAAAATGCCCACCATTTTCGGTGCAAAGCCGGAAGAATTGAAGAACTTTAAGCCTGACGACCGTACATTTCATCTTGATGCAAATGCAAAACATGCGAACGAAAGCTCAATTGCTGCTGCATACAACAAAGCAAGTGGAAAAATGAGCATGGCACCTAATCCAAAATACAATCCTAAAGACAAAGAATTGGCATATCGTGCCGGTCCAATGCATGGCTATCCAAACATTCAATCGAATCCGGTGAGACAATCGGAAGTGATACAGTTTGTACCACATCAAAGACCACCATCGATGAATCGACTGCCAGAAACGACAACAACAACAACCACGGCGACGACAACAAATGAACAAAACAAGCAACAACTACCCTATCCGCCCTACAATCACTATGATGCAGCTCACCGAGCTCAATCGCAACCACCGTTCAATCATTCACATCCGCCGACCGCTGAATATGCAGTTCCAAATAAGATGCATAACGATAGATACAAAATGGGTCATCAATACATGGAAAGAAGTGATGTTCACTACTCCAGTAACTCTGCTCCTGCTGTTGCTGTTGCCGCCACCGCCGTCAGCAATGTGCCACAAAAGAGACCATCCGAAAATGGTTCAATCGATCCCGTTCCCGTGAAGCAGCCACGATATGATCACGTCGACGATGCGAAATATCAACAAAGCGTAAGTAATCATCATCCATATTATCCACCGCATCAGGATCGAAATATGGCAATGTATGCCCCGCAGTATGTGCCCAATATGAAAGTTAGCGAAAAGGCAATAAGCACACCTGTTATCGTGCAACCACAGCATGCAATCGCTAATGAAGCCAAATACCACTATCCACCGTATTCAAATATGAGCAATGAAAATAAACATACGATGCCGATGCGTCCGACCGAGAGCTACGAACAGTCTGCGACAAAAGTGACAAGTGCGCAAACATTTCGACCATCGCAATACTATCCAAATCATTATGCACCGATTGAGAAAGCAGCACCCTACGAGGATGTGGCCAAAGCAAAAGCTCAAATCAATACAACCACTTCACATCATCCACCGCACAACAATGCTGTTTACACACCACAATCATATCGACAAAACGAATGGCCACCCAGAACCGGAAACAATGAACACCCGTTGGGATACGGAAAACGACCGTCTTCATATGAACATCTTCCATCTCAACCGAACCGATTCGAGTCTTCTGTTATCAAATCGCCCGAATTTGCCAAGGCTGATACAGCACTTACAGCTCCAGCAAATGAACCGTTTCGAACAACAACATTTACCACCACCAACAATAACAGCACTAGCAATAACAATAACAACGTTCCGAAAGCCGTCGATCAGAGTGTAATTTCAAAATTGCGAAACAATTTGGAATTGAAGGAAATGGAAAAGCAAAAATTGCTGAAAACCCAAAATCATAGCGAAAAAACAGGTGACGAAGTCAACAAATCGGATTTGGCTTCAATATTGGCGGCACGTATCCGGACGAAAGGTGAACTGAAAGGATTCATACCGATTTCGGTAAATGATGCCGAGAAGACGGCCAAAGAAAGTCCAACGGTGGCAAATGTAACTGTCGAAACGTCGATAGAAAGTAGTGAGAAAATTGTGTCAAAAGCCGAAGTGAAGTTCAGTGACAGTTTGGCTGGGCTAGATTTGATGGATTGGGGCAGTACCTGCAACGATTTCCTTGAACAATTGCAGAACAATAGTAACAAACAGCGTTCGAGAGCACAAAGACGTTTTAAACTCGATGAAACCAGTCAATTGGAACGAAAAGCACAGGAAAGTTCAGCAGCATCAACGAAATCCGGCGAAAATTCCAATGGTGAAAAAGACAAGCCCACCAATGTGAATAAATCGCAGTCGCAGTCGCAATCGCAATCGCAATCGCAATCGCAATCGCAATCGCAATCGCAATCGCAATCGCAATCGCAATCACAAAGTAATACTAACGAAACTTCCAGTGATGAAGATAAACCGTTACTTTTGTTGCGACAACAAAGTTTGAGTGAAAATTCGAAAAATCGCAAAAATTTGTCGAGTAGCGATCGCGAGAAAGCATCACCAAATCGAAAGAAAAACAAACTGGAAAAACAATCGCCGAGCAAACGGAATGAGAATAAAAAACGATTGGCCATCGAGAGTAGTTCGGAGAGTGAAGAAGAAGCTAATCGATACTCAAAGCGATCGAAGAAAATGATACGAAAACCAAGAACACGGTCAAGTATCAGTAATCGAGGTGGTGACGATGGCGATGACTCAGACACAACATCGAATAAAAATAATCACAAATCGTCGAAAAAGCGAAACCGAAAAGAAAAATCGTCATCAGAATCGGACGTCGATGCCAATCGCAATTCCAAAAAGAGAAAATCACTGGAGTTGAAGAGTGATTCGGACAATGATGACGACGACGACGACGATGACAATGACAATGATAATGATGACAATGATGATGATGACGCGACTTCGGCAAATTCACCGAAGAAACGACCGCAACCGATGAAAGTGGAAGAGACGATGACGAGATCGAAGCGAAAGCGTGAACTGGAAATGGAAATTGCAAACAGCAAAGTGCTTCGCAACGATAAAATGGTCAAATGTAATTCTATTACAATGGAAAAGCGTAGTAGTGATAACAAATCGACGCAGGAGAAGAAACAAAATTCAAAATTCTCCGATGAAAAAAACAGTAACACAAAAAACAGTGAGAATACAAGAACACAACGCTCAAAATCCAGCGACGGCAAGAAAAAAGCAAACGAAAGCGACACTGAAGTGACGCCGAAAAAAACTGGTCTGTTCAAGAAAAATCTACGCAACGCTAGACAGCAATCGTCGTCGAGCGAAAGTGAATCGTCATCATCGGAAAATGAATCGATTATAACGGAACGTTTGCGCTCGCGGAAGCCAAAGAATAATCCAACATCGGACTCGGAGGCGAATAAAGACGCAAAAAATGGGAAAAGCAAACCGGGATGTAGTAGCTCAATGGGTGGCGGCGGATCGGCCGATGAAAAACCATCGAATAAAAAGAGCGCTAAAAATACGCCGAAGAAAAATGTAGCCGATTTGGACATGAGCGAAGACAGTCGATCACAATTTCCACCCGGATGGGAGGAACAAGCATACGAGTATAAACGTTCACTCAAAATTCCCGCTCGACTCATCACAATTGGTCGTCCGTCATGGCATCAGCATCGCAAGTCCACATCACTGCCTGATCTAGATCCACAACACTCCAGCGATGCTTCGGAAACATTTGCCGAAATTAATAAAAAATCAGCGGGTGGATCGTCTTCAAAGAAAGGCAAATCTGGTGATAAAAAGGCTAGCGATCGTTCAGCTTCGGTGAATCATGACAGTGATAATGCGGTCGCAAATTCAAAGTCCAAATCGATTATCGATCTACTGCATCAACGTGTCATTCGACCGTCTGTCAAGAGCAAAAAGTCGCGCAATCAATCGGCACAGAATGAGTCAAAAATTTTACCACAATCAAACGAAGTGGAATTGCTACCAACGCCCGGCAAAGATGAAGGCAAACCAGAAAATGTCTTCAAGTCTGAGAATGTGTTTGAAACGGCCGTTTTAAAATCACGCACTCGAAAGGAATACAAAGCGATGAAAACGCAAGAGATCATTCGTGAAGTGTTTGGTGGTGAAGATCGGCCCGCATCAGCTCCTCCATACAACTTTGAAATTGTGCAACAAAAACTGTTACAACAGCAGCAGCAGCAGCAGCAACAACAACAACAACAACAGCAGCAGCAGCCGCCGCAGCAGCAACAAGCCCCACAATCGTCTGTCACACATCAAGCACCGCCAGAATCGAAGCCGTTAACATTCGATCAACAATATCAGCAGTATTTGGAAAAGTTGAACGTTGACTACGGCGAAAAAATCAGAAAAGTAAAAAATCAAGAGGCCAAAAACAATGCAACTGAATCGGGTCAGTTAGTGCCGAAGACGGAGAAAATGGATGAAGACAGTCTACTCAATCAAGATGAAGATGAAGAGAGTCACGACACCGAACTCAATGATTGCGAACGCAACATTGATGACAGCAAAGAAGACGCTTGTGATTCACTCGAACGCGGTGACACGCCAAGTGTTATGTCCGAAGCTGACGGAGCAACACCAACGTCATTCGCTGGCGTTTTGAAAACGAAAAAGGGACGCGGCAACCGATATGGACGACGCAAAGGCAGTTCAGGTAAATGCGAAATACACATCCAATCGTTCGAATCGAAACTAACAATTTTCTTTATTCTGCTTCTTTTAGGTTTCGATTACATTCGTAAGAAGAAAAAGCCATTGTCACAGCAGAACAATTCCAAAGATACATCGGTTGTTGTGAAGCGTCGAGCCGCCGTCAACTATTTGGAATTCAAAAATGAGAACGATATAACACGTGAAATTCGAAGCTGGGTGCTGAACAAAGGCGTTGGCGAAAGTGTACTGCACAAAGCAGCTCGATTAGGTTACATCGATGTAGTTGCTTACTGTTTGGAACGATTGGAAATGGCACCCGATCAAAAGGATAATGCTGGATACACTCCATTGCATGAAGCATGCTCCCGTGGTCTCATCGACATTGCAAGAGTTCTGTTGCAATACGGTGCCAATCACTCGGAAACCGCTCATTCCGGCATTCGGCCACTTCATGAAGCCGTCGATAATGGATATTTGGAAATTGTCCGATTGCTGTTATCATATGGAGCCGATCCACTCTTAGCTACTTATGCCGGTAATTCCAAATTGTATACATATATCTTCATGTTGGATGAGTCTAAAAAATTTCGATTTTTCAATGTAGGTCAAACACCAATAATGCTGGCTGAAGACGATGATGAAATGGTGTCATTCCTGAAGAATCATCTGATTGATGTGCAAAATACGGGTCCAAATAAAATGCCATGGAAATTTGAAGGACCATGGAAAATGAATGGTAAGCATTTTGTTTGAATGCATTTAATTTCAAATATTTATTTGGGTTTTATGGAAAATTTTAGATCCTGACAATATTGGTTATGAAGTATTCAATGATTTGCCTGAGGAAATCGAACCACCCCAAAAACCGAATAAAATCGTTCAAGAAGCATGCACTTCGACTACGCCAGAGAAAGTGGTAAAAACACCAAAACGTAAATCACCATTGCGGCGAAAGTCCAAGCAAAAAGACGTTGTGGAGGCGAAAGATGAAGTCGATGAAAGCGGCGATGGCGCTCTTGTCGGCGATAGTGATGCTGAATTGTTTGAAATTGAGGAGTCCGATGCACCGCTCATTCCATTGTATCAACTGCGAGATGAAGGCACTACCAAATGGGTCCTATTGAGCGATTTATGCTATTTGCTGAAGGTCAAGTCAAAAGACACTCTTCTCAAATTGGTATGTCCCCCTCATCAATTGGCATTTTGCACTTGTCCATTAATCATCATTTTTTGGATGTAAATTAACGTTTGTTTTTTATTTGAATTCTCAGCTGTACCCCGGATCGAGTCCAACGACTAGTGCCAGTCAAAAAGATCTGTTGCGCGAATTGAAAATGTCCGAGTTTTTGGAGAAAGCCGTCTGTCTGCAGCTGTTGTGCGCTGGTGAAAAACTCAACATACGATCGTCAAAGGTCACATTAGTAAAGTACAACGAAAGCGTAAAGAATGCTCTTGGTATCAAAACAATAAAGATGCGACTATAGTTTGAGCAGAAACGAAAAAAAAACGAGAAATGAAAATATGGAGAGGAAAACAATAATTGACTAGAGAAGTAGAATTTGATTAAGGATTTTAACGATCAAAGACGAGTTTATTTAAATATGTCAAACAAAAACAAAGAAAATCTTCTGTGTAATGTCTTCAATGGAGAATACTCAACTTTTTAATGTGTGTCTCTTTTTTTTCTACATAAAAAAACGGTCTATTGTTCATTGAAACAATGGCAAAGATTGTCTGAAGCAATTCCATCCTATGTCACACCTAATTAAATATGAGATAATGAAAGAAGAAAAACGACAAAAATTTAGTAGCAATGAAACAAGGATTCCAAAAAAACAACAACAACAACAAAACAAATGAAATTATATTTTTCGATTTTAGGTTATTAGAACGGTTTTTTTCTTCTCTTCTTTCATACACACACAAACACACACACATATGTATACAGTCGTAAAAGAAATAATAATGCGAATATTTTTTCAATATGAAAACTATTCAAGTAAATCAAGTCTGCTTACTGAACCAAGAACAAAATTCGATTAATGAAAAGATAAAACAAAATGATATCTAATAAGTCGGAAATGTCAGGCTCATTTCCGTAGCTAAGATTTATTAAATTATATACATATAGAGAGACATAAGCTAAGAGAGACAAACAAACACACACACATACTAAACCAGATGTTTTTTTTACCAAGTTTCTGGACCTTTTTTTGCATGGAAATTTTAATCGACGAAAGAGTATTTTGAACTATTTGTAGCAAATATACATGGTTCAGAATGTGCAGTAATTTTTTTTGGAATTTAGCAAAATTGTATTAGGTTAGAATCAAAATAAATTTAAATTTATTTAGGCAATAAGAAAATCTCTTTAAAACTCAAAACACAAACAAACAGAAGAAAAAACAAACACATGAGAAGCAGTTAAGATTTTTATATTATATTATTATTTTATCTTCTCCATATTGTTTTGTAAATAAGCTTGAACATTTACTGTAAGAATGAACAACACACACACACACCCACAATTTTAGGACTATGTTCAAAAAAAGGAAACTCTTTTTAACATGTAAAATCGTTAATTAATTTTAATTTAGAAAATATTTTTTAATTCAATTAATTAACAAACAAAAAGTGAATTATTTTGTCTATTGAATATGACGCAAATGAGGTTGAGCAAGACAACAACCGTAGCAACGAAGTGAAAATATGATTCGAAGAAAAGACGAAACAGAGACGAATGAAATCTAGATGCAAATATGAATGAAGGAGATGTTAGGAAAATGGGCCCGATGTAAACGTAAACGTAGGTGAAATATGGGAATGTGCTTTAAATCAATTTGTAAATGTATAAAAAAACAACAACAACAAAATATGTATTTAATATGTATTTCAATTTTGTTAGTTAGAAAATTTTGCTCATATTAAAAAGAAAACGCTATCACACATCTCCCGGAATTATTTTAACTTTTTCACACAATCTTGTTTTTCTTTTCTAATTCTCTGTTGATAACAATCCTGGCAATTTAGTTTGTAATTTGTTCGCTTTTTTTTCTGTTTGAGACTATATTCTCACGGCTCACCTAGACCATAAGAAGCAAACACGTGAAATAATAATTTATTTATATGAAAATTTGTAAAAAAAAAATCACAGAAAATGTTTAATTTTTTTTGGGACTATAATTTCAGAATAAAGGAATAAATATTGGAATAAAGAAAATGTGCACTTTTTTATCGAAGCTTATGCGTTTCGAATATGATAAAATACATATAAAAAAAATTAAGTTGCGTTATCAGCAAAAATAGTAAGATTGATGTGTTTTCTTCGAGAAGTGCTGGTTAAATTCGAGAAAATTCTATCATAAATTATATGTGATAAAAAAAAATAGACAATTCATCAGTGTCACGGACGCGTACTACCCAATTTCTTGGTGTAAAATTCTGGAAAAGTCATCACAAGCTATTTTAACACATGTTGACGCTATTGCTCTCTTTCGCAGTGATATCGTTAATTGTTCAATGACAAACGTGTTGTATAAAAATATTCCAAGCCCAAAATAAGCTTGATGTGTTTAACAGCGAATTCAAAATTCGAACTTGACGAATGGCAAAAGCTCCATTTATTCGAAATTCAAGTTTTATCGCCGTCGCTTTTTTCGTCTTCGGTGTGTATGGTTGGCTTACGAACGGTCTCTTCGGGCAAAAAGTCTCTCACAGATAAATATAGAGCGGAGCTATTGCTGTCGTTGTCGCTGTCGCTGTCGCTGTCGCTATCGCTGTCGCTATCGCTGTCGCTGTCGCTGTCACTGTCGGCACACATATATACGCAATAAACCTGCCAAACAAAACCGACCAAATCACCTGCTGAATCAGAGCTCACAAATTGAGACATATTTCGCATTCATGCAAAATAGCCAGTGGTGTGACGACTTTTGGAATTAGTCATTTGGTTTTTTTTTTCTTCTATAGAACTTTGCCAAATTCTAGTGGACAACAAACTGTCAGAATGTTGATATGGTTCGCATTCTGCGAAACAATATGGGCAAAGCCAACGTATAACTGACACGCGATAGTGACGCGAGACGGCCGCGAAGAATAAGAATGAAAGAAGAAGGAGGTGATCGAAAAGAAATCTAAATACGGAACGAGAACAGAATGAAAAAGACAACAACAACGGCAACGACGACGAAGAAGAAAGAGACTTAGTATACATCAACACTCACAGCCTTATTTGCCTCATTCGTTCGTCTGTCATACACATCAACCAAATACACGTTCTGAAATGCCAATAGTCGGGCAACAATACACTGACAACCGAGTGTGCGCAACGAAACCAATACAATTACAAACACACGCGCGCACCACATCGTTCATGCCAATGTATTTGATGTATAGAAACGAGCTCGCCGTGTCACTGTCTGTATGCATACAGCGAAGTTTGCGTGTAAGAGAGAGAGCGAGAGAGAGAGAGAAAAAAAACAACAACCAAAACACACATCGGCGCGCAGCTGCCCGTGAAAAATTTATCATATTTTTGTTGAGAATCGCATTTCTGATTCATTTCAGTTGGAATATTAGCGTGATGTAAAAGTATCGTTTCGTACTCTCGATCATCAACGAAGTATAATATATATATATATATATATATATATATATAAAGGAATATTCATTCGGAAAGCGATTAACAAAAACGCTGGAAACGCGACATACAAACATCAGAGAGCAAACAAAACGAACAGCAAATATTCCGAGATATAAAAAGAATCGCTGGTTCTTTCCATAATTTAGTTCTTGTTATTTCTTCCAAATTTTTTTTTTTCATCAGTGAAATATTTGAGTAAATTGATAAAAGTGTGAAAATAAAAAGTCATACGACATACGATGAACGGTTAACATACGAGTGAATCTAAAGAGAAAAAATACTGTCGAAAAATGTACGTGTCAAATTAAATTCCATTTTTTTTTCCACTTCTTTAAGTATATTAAGTTTGACGAGAAAAGCAACGACTCCGTCTCAAAAGGAAGAAGAAGAAGGCAGGAAAAGAAATTAATGCAAACGCAAAATGTGTGTTTTGTCTGTTTAAATAGCAAAAAAATTGTAACCATATCGATGAGCTGAAGCGAAAATTTAATAAATAAGCAAGTTGAGTTAAGTGAAAATGCGGTAATTGACGTCTGAAATTCTTTGGCTTGTCATCGCTCATGATTACATAGTTATTTGACAAATTGTTTCATATACGAATTTTCCCGTCTTTTCTTCCCTCTATTTTGTTTTGTTTTGTTTTCGCTGTGACTGACAATCGATTTATGTGCGACTTTGACGGTCTTTAAGTGGTTAAATGCAACTTACCGAAGAAAAAAACGCAACGAAATATTGTCATTTTTAGCAATTCGCTGGTGGTTTTGCATTGATTGAAATGAAGGAGACAAAACAGCGATGTGTGAGAGACACACGACGAAAACAACTACAACAACAACAACGTTCACAATTTGACATCGTTTATTTAATTTTTTTTTTGTTCGTTTTTCAATTTTAAATAATAACGATATTCAATAGTCAGTCATGAGTGCACGTTCAGTTATGTAATTGCATTTACATTTCAACAATAGGTTCGTTTGAATGTCCTCCTGTATGTAATTGTTGTCGTCGTCGTCGTCGTCGTCATCGTCGTACAAAACGTTTAATCGTCTGTCTCTCGGTTTATTTATTCACTTTTGTTTGTTGTTGTTTTCGAGTTTTCCTTGTAATGAAACTGAGTGATTCAATGTATTTGCGCCTGAGTGAGACAGTGTTTACAAAATATAACAACGAGAGGAATAAACAACGCGTACGCAGAAACTGAAAAAAAAAATCCGCGATAGAAATGGCAACGGAAAATAAAGCGAACAAAAAAACATGTGTGCGATATCTTCAGCACAGTCATTCTTTAGTGTATTATAAATATGATATTTCGTCATTACACTCTATGTGATGTGTGTATTAAATGCAAATGCACTGGTTTTTATTTCAAGCTTCGTATTTTTTTCCCCTTCGCTGCTTCTATTCGGTTTGTTCGATGATTTTTATTTTTGTATTTTCATTTTTCTTCTCGCTCTTATTGCTGTAGTTATTATTGGTGCCGATGCTATTGTTGTTGTTGTTGTTGTTGTTGTTGTCATCGTCATCGTAGCTGTCGTCATCGTCAATCAGGGAGCCGCTGAGCATTGCTTGTTCAATAAAAACACTTCAATCTCAATGTATTTTCACTTGAATCAATGCGCGGCTTTCAATCTAATTACGACGACTGATTATATATTTGATGTCACAGAGAAAGGTTCGCGTCAAGTGATTAAACGATTGTATTGAAGAGAGGCGAGCGAGAGAGAGAAGTAGATGATGAAAATTGATATATTTTACGCGAAATTGCGCGGAAACTACGTCACCTAAATGATTTGCTTATAGAAAATTAAAAACAAAATAGCATCGAATCGATTCGTGATTCATTACAAACATAGTGTGCATAATTGTGGTGATGATAGAACCTGGTGATGATAGATTTTGTTGTTTGTGATTCGATCCTCAACTGATTGCAACCACCAGAGAGTCAACAAGTGTGAATTTTCTCGAATAAATAATATATCCCCAGTGTTATTACACACACACACTGCTTACAAGGTAACGCGAAATTAAAACAATCATTTTTTCTATAAACAGAGAACGTTCAATACAAACATCGGTGTTTTGGTTTGCTTCCGAATAGAAAAATACTCGTTGATCGTTTACACTTAGATTCAACGAAAATGAGTCAATTTTTCTCTCGATAAACAAATGAGAAGCTTTTTATTTAAACATGTCTGACTGTGTGAAAATGGTTAACAAACATTGGGGAGTTGAAATGAAAATGGTATAATTTGTTGGCGTTGTTTGTACGATGATGACATGGATTAGGAAAAGCGACGTAGTTCGATGCATCCTCTAATAGTTGTAAACGCGAATGGAAACGTACACACACACACACACACACACACACTTGTCGGCCAATCACGCGTAAGCACGTGTATATTGTGTATTGTAGCATTTCATTTGGTTTTCAAAGAAAAAACACATTCATTACACACTGTCAAGTGGATAAAAGCGGGGCAATGAGTATGTATGCCACACGGAGTATTCATTTGTTGGCTATCAACAGGATATGTCATTGCTATCGTGAATGATGAACTCATTATCCCTGTACGAACTGATGACACACACGATTTCACTGGTGCATCGCGCGCACAGCTTGAATGTATTCAGCGTTATTTATGGGTGTTTTAAATTTCTTCTCTTGTACTCAATGAAATGAGGTGAAAGCGAAAACGAAAAAGACGAAAATCGAATGTGAGCATGTGTGAGAGAGAGAGAATGCGAAAGAGTATTGAAGGGTTTCTACTACACTATTTGCAAAGTGATATGCGTATAAGTTTGATTATGACCGAAAAAGTTTACAAATCGAGGTTAAAATAACAGTTCGATGGCCCAAGCGACCAATGGCTGTGTTCATGAAATATGGTATCGTTATTTTTTCTTTTCTCTCTCTCTCTCTCGTGTGTTTATGCACTGCAAGTATATGACCTGGTGTGCGCAAACGTCTTAAGAACTAGCGTGTTATGCGTGTACATGAAAATCAAAATAGTACTTGCGCGCACGTGTACACACTATAAACACACAAACATGGTTGTCTGAATAAACCAGTGAAATAATTCAAAAGTTGTTTCCTTTCTATTCGAGGCGGGCGATCGTTGTTTGTATTTGTGTGGTATCGCATATTGAACCAGTAAAACCGAACATGAATATCATTTGTAATGGGAAAACGTTTCCTTATTGTACATCGTGTACCCATTTGGATGTGATGTACTTGTGTAAGTCGCGCTCAGTAAACTACTAATTGATACGCACGTGAAAGTATTTTGATATGACAACTGAGTCAAGTTCTCTTATCTAAAGTCAAAATTATCGCAATAAAACAATGAGACGACGCTTTTTTATTTCATTCGCCACTAACGAATTTTATTCCATTTCCGGTACGAAATTACGTCAACTGTTTATTCAATTTATTGATATTATTCGTTTTGTGCATTTTTTCTTGGACTGTACCTGAAATGTGATAGCACGAGTCAATGGTTGTTTCCCCATCAATTCATAATTATTATCAGCACATTTGCTATCAACATTCGTGACCATTGATTCCGTGATGTTTATCATATAGAGCTTGTTTAGATCGTCGATTCCACACAGAACAAACTGGATGGGCAAGAAAGCCCTAGAGAAAGGAAAAAAAACACCATATAATCAGTGGATGTGAAAAAAAGAATCTTAAATCGACATTCTCGTCAGGAACACTATCATCACATTACCGAAACAACATCAAGATCCAACATATCACCATCATATTTTATTACGGTATCGCGATGACACATCACAATCAAAATAATCGTCATGTAAATTACAAAAAATATCTGCTATACGCTTATTGACATACGAATGAACATTCTGAGCCATCAATTCGATCAATCACCACACTTGATTGAGGCTACTCTCACTTTTGCTACGACTTGCAGGCAATTACAGAAAAACAAAAAGAAACTTGCTTCCAATGCAATACGCAGAATGTACGTGGCAGTGATTGCAATGGGTATCTGTTCAGTTTTTTTTCTCTTCTTCCACTTATTTAGGTTGTGAAGTCAGTCAGTGAGTCAGTTGTTAAGTGTTTGAGCGAGTGAGAAAGAGAGAGAGAGAGTGAGAGAGTGCGAGAATCAGCGGCGTATTGAAGTTCCATTCAGTATCCAGTTTTCAGAGAGAATTTGCATAAATGTATCTTTTTAAAAGCAAAGATTAAAGAAGAAAAAGAGAGAGAATAGTGCTTGCTAGAGGTCTGTGCAAAATAACATAAACGTGTGCGACAACGCACACATACCGGGTTAGCGTGATAGAGCAAGCGAAAATGTGAGCCGAATGCGCAAGAATGAGAGGCGTTTTGCTCCTAAACCTTGGTATCATTTTATACTCGATGTAGAGAGACATTTTACGTCATTTCCAACGTTATTTTTGTTTGCACAAAATTCGTATGGCAAAGTGTGAGCGCGTAAGACATTATTTTACATGCGAAATAGCGGTCCATCGTATGATCAAAATACGCAGTAAAAACGGTGGAATACAGTCATTTCTTTTTAGCTAAAAACCCGTGCTGCATGACATCCAACTGGATGTCACATGGCTATGGAACGCCGAACAGTACAGATCTTCATGTAGACGATCGCATCACATTGAAAACGGAAAAATAATAAATTGGTTTTGCTAGTGACTCGCTTTACTTAGAGAAATTGTGTTAAGAGAGAAAGAAAAAGAAACGTGTTGTGAAAAAAAAGACCCAAACATTTGTCAGTTTGTTTGTATTTCGCTGTGCTTTTTATAGATGCTTCAAAAATAAATTACATAAGAGTTTTGCCTATGTTTACCGGGATTTGTGGCCGACTCGCTTTCAGATTAAGTGATTTTTATCGAGTGAGTGCATTTATTTTGTTCCATTCGCGTTGAAAAATCCAGTTTTTTGTCACTTATTTTTTTCTTTGTTCCGGGCTTATTTTTGGTGCTTGCATCAAGTATTCAATTATCTGTCAGAAGCCCAATTAGCGTAATAAATTTGCAGAAAAAATCCAATACTTTGTAGTACTACTTCGTTGACATGGTGGTTTTCAACCTTTCGAAACGACTAGGCGAAGGTACTCATCGTCTCGATTTGGTGTGCTGCATTCAATGTCGTGAACAAGATTTTGTCTCGTTTGCATTCGTTGATTTGTCTTCCTTAATAACTGTTGGACTCGTTGAACAAAAACCAAAAACAACGGCAAAATACAAAAAAAAATAATCCAATTTTGTTTCTTCTTTCAACAGGTGCAATAAAGTGGTGCGTCATGTCCGGATAAATTTAGTTGCAAAAAGATGAAAGACAAGTTCACAAGTGATCGAAATAAAACGCATCTAAATTTGGAAGTTATAAATGATTTGGACGAAACAAAGAATTGAATACACCGAACATCAACACTGCGATAAATCAATCAATCAATCAAAAACAAATTCAGTTGATCATTTCAAAAGACCGAAGAAAAGTATTTAAAAGTTTTTTGGACATTTCATACCGTTGAACTAGTATTTATAAAAGAAAAAGAAGAAGAAGAAGAAGAAAAGTAAATATGCCGAACGTACTATTAGATCGAATTTCGTTGCCGAATCTGCGGCTGTATACGTCAGTGAGTGTGGTGCTAGTTAGTTGCTGTTTATATTATGCCATAAGTGCAACGAGTGATCCATTTTGGCGGTTGGACAACAATACAACCGCATCCGATTCGTTTTTCTCATTGAACACGGATAACAATCATCAAGTTGCCGAACATATTGCAGTCAATGGTCCGGATCTCAGCAGCATTTTGACAGATAAAAAAGAGACAGACGGAAGCATTTTAACCGGTTGGAATGGCATGGTTGATCATCATGTGCAGCAACAATCTTCGACACCGTCACCACCACACCAACATCAAGTGGTCAACCAAATTTTTTCCCAATTCACTGCCGATCAACGAAAACTGTTCAATGACACCAGAACCATTGGCACCAAATTCAAAGACGTCGTATCGTTCATGGTGCAAGAACCAATATGTGTCTGGGTGAGTACATTCATATGTTTAACTTTTGTCTCTCTCATTGATAATCCCGAATTTTTTTTTTCTGAAGCGAATTTGCGTTCGAACAGTTGAACGATCGCACTAAATTAATAGGCAACGAAGGTCTTTCATCATTTTGGAGACTAAATGTGTTTGCTTAAGGAAAATCTAGTTGTTCGGTGATTCGAACACATGATCACTTTCAATGAAAGTGGTAAATAAACGATAAAATGGCGCCTTTCCATTTTGTCGATGCGTCAAAACAATGTGTGCTGGAAATGAAAAGAAAATAGGCGAACGATGTTCGCAAACAAGAGGCATCCAATAGACGTAGGAAGCTTCGTGATTCGCATAAATACGCTAAAAAGAAACTTCAAACAACATATAAGCACAATTTGCTTAGCAAATCATTTGAAGTGTATGTTAAACACACACACACACACACAAACGGGAAAAGATTCACATCAGTCAAAGTTACCGTTATGTTTTGCCACTTTATTTTCCATTCTTCGCACAAAACTGTAAATTGTAAATAGATTTTACTAGAAAACCCATTCAAATGATCATTGAATCTACTCAAACGATAAATTGTTGTGCGGTTAAAAGGAAGAGGCTTTCTCAAAATCGACTCTCTCTCTCTTTCGCGCGCGCGCGCGCGCGTTCGCTTGACACCACACTATCGATCAAAATGGAAAAATTTGTAATAATCATGCTCAAGCCCATTATGACTGACATATAATATCGTCGTTTAGCTATCGGAAGTTGTCATGTATTGCGATTTGATTGATAAAATTTCAATTATTACCGCGTGCCGTCGTGTCTATTACACAATCATTGGTTTTTTGTTTCTTCTCCTTTTTTTTTGATTTGCAACAACGACTTTATTTTGATCGAAGCAATCTCTCGAATATATTTTACTACACACTATACTCAATGATCAATTGTGCGCGATAGCCATATATATATACTATGTACATTAGGGTGTTTTTCATAACCTGAAAAAGAAAAATGGTAGATTTTAAATTAAAGAGGAAAAAATTCTGTATCAATTAGTGGTGTTCACACAACGGAGCAATCGACATTCACACCTCCCGAAGCAAAAAGACTGCTTTTCCATTCAAATGTCTAAATAACTCTCGCTCCGAAGCGTTGAACAAATTCTACTTACCGTGATATGATGCATTGAACAAGTCATATCCAAAAAATGCGGCGACATTGTCAAACCGGAATATGAACACGACTCATTCTGATCATCAAATAACGTCTATAAAACCACTCATGTACTGCGGTAAATAAAGTTAGACACCTTATAAACCTTAAAATAGCCCACTAAGTGCAAGACTTGAGAACTCTAATAAACTATTAGAAAATATTTGTTAAAAAAAAACTTTAATGCTAAACGCTGGATTTTGATTTATGGATTGAGTGGAACGCCGTCGTCATCTGGTCGTCGCAGCAGTGCTGGATGTATCGGAATACCGAGTAGCGTGCAAAGACCTAAGTAAATAGAAAACAAGCACACAAATGAAATATTAATCAATTTCAAATGAAATATTAATAGATAATGAACCTTTGTACATGATCAGTTTGGCTGCTGATATGTCCCGATGCCAAAGTGATTTGAGCAACTTGCGTGATTGTGCAGCGTCTTCTGTTCCAGCGTTTACAGCAGCATTTGGTTGCCAGGTTTTGAAGAAGCGTTGCTTCTTTGACACCAAACGTCCTGAATTTCGTTGGGTTAGAATGGCTGCAATAGCATCACCTTGGTCGCGCATTTCCTCCCATGTACGCATGATTTTCCGTTGCATTTGCAACACTCGTTTGCTCACGTTCGTATAGATGGTTCTCGGAAGTTCAACACGTTCATCTGGTTGGCAATCGTTGCACTTCTCGTATCGTTTGCTCTTCGTCCATATCGGGAACCGTTTGAAGCATCGGGCACAATGTTGCGATGTCATGTATTCATCCACCAACCGAACGACACAATTGCCACGTCTTTTGAAGGCTGCAATCAGCTTGCGAACGCCTGGACACCGCACGTACTTTTTAATTCGGATCGGGCAATTTGGTGAAATTTCGGCTGCTCCGATGTTGATGATAGCTGTCTTGAAATGTACCAGCTTACCGCCGATGAGATCAATTGCACGACGCCATTCAATGTGTTTGTCCAAACGTAAGCGTGCATAGTTTTTCTGACTGTATGCCGCGATACCATCTTGGGACATTCGCAGGCGATGTTCGATGTAATGGCGCCAAGAGATGTTCCGTGGCGATGGTGTTTGGCCAATCTCTGCGGCGATACGTTTGAGGTCCGCTTGTTCGTCATACGTGAAGACTCGTGTCATTCGTTCGGCTTTAATGTTGCGCGCATCTTGTTTCGATTTCAGATGGTATTGTTTAAACGAAATCTTCTCGTTGGTCTAAAAATAAAATGCAACAAAAGTGAATTAATACTTCTTCTTCTTCTTCTTCCTTTTTTCGTTTTGTAAATACTTACCTCTTCGCCGGTCTTCAGATCGAGGCGGACCGACGCAATGAAGGTTCGCATGCCTGGATCGATTCCCAATGCATACGCGAATTCGCCTGCGAAATATTTTCGTTTGGTTTCGGCCTCATCTTCATCAGCAACAGTTTTGCTCTGTTTCGGCAATTTGAATAACACCGACGCTGACACACCATCTGAAACTATCGAATCGCCGAATTCCTTTTTATTCTTGACCAGCTTGATAATTTCGTCCATGTTGAAAAACAAACGCCAGCCTCCTCTCTCCTTGAATTCAGTCTGTGAGATCCAGCGCTGTTGGTATTCGCCGTTTCGTAAGACTCGAGTGCCTTTTGTTCGCGGCATTGCCTTGATGCCCAATAAAATGTTGTACAATGAATCCGTATCAATTTTCACGTGTCGGCGCTGGAATGTGCACTTCGGAATGACTGTGAAGGTGGTGATTTCAGGCGGCTCTGGAAATTCTGGCTGTTGCACATAGAGCGGATATTTTCGGAACAGATTCCAACTTTGGCGTAGATTGGCAAACGCGAGGTGAAAGTTATGAATATCACGCTGTAAATTAATGAACATGCGCAATGCTTGGAACCAATTGAGTTCAACGAATTCTCTGATGTTAAATGGGTGTGGATCATCTGGTCTGTAAGGTGCTTCAATCCAATACAGCTCCGCCAACAGTATTTCCAATTTCCGTATGGCATTTGCATTGCCACGCGTTGAATCTCTCCGGTTGTATGTGTAGTTGATGGCATTTTTGATGTCGTCACCATCGAATAATTCGTCCAACTCGAGATCTCCACACAGACACATGTGGTTCAATTCGTAGCAACGCATTTTGAAGAACTTTCTCAAACGCTTTTCGCAATGCGTTTTGAGGTTGGTCTTGACGTTTGTGGTATATTGCTCGTACAGGTATTTGAATGTATTGCCGAAACATCGGTTCGTTGGCCATGGAAACCATTCGCCGAGAATGTTGATAACCATTTGCCGGAAACCTGGGACCATAAACATTCGATCATTGGTGTAGTTTTGCCGGAGCACACCTTGGAAGCACATTTTGATGATTTCATCGCCATCGGAGTTGAAAAAGTCGTTGTTGAAATCATCGACCGCCGTATTAACCTAACAAGAACAATGGTTTTTTTTGTTCAATTTGAATGAATCGAATCGGTTCAAGATGATCGTACAAAATGGCGAAAACAGTGAAAATATAAAAAAAACTTACCAGATATAGAAAATAGAGCGATGCCAGAAGTGAGATTAGCGTTGCCATGATGCTCATTTCCCCAATCACTGTTGTCAAAATCAGCCGATACGGTTTCTGGATGATTGTTCGTAGAGCCAGTTTCACTGTTGTGAATCTCTCATCGCTTCCACTGCGAGATCCACGGGCTCCACGGGCCAT